TAAAACAAAGATTTATATTTTTGATATTTATTTTATATATTTAAATGCCATTTAACAAAGAAAAATCAACCAAAAAATGAGTTCGTGTGTCACCTCTGACACGTGTGTCATAGGTTTGCCATCACTGTTCTAGAGGGCTCTGGCCTGGCTGTCTCTTTAATTCAGTTTGCAGTATTTTCTCAGAAACTCTTTTCTGTGCCACACCCAATAGCTCTATCTTAGGTTCCCTCTCAAGCTTTTAATTTCCAGCTTTAGAAGCTATCAGCTGTTTGGAGCTTTCCTCTCCAAGCACAACCGTCCCATTTTGTGTGCCACTCAGTTAAGCACCTTTTGTGATGTTTAATGCACTTATATCAGAACAGAAAGGCAACCTAAGCGGCCAGGGCAACATCTGGAATACTAAAGTCAGAGTGCTTGGGTCACAGTGTGGATGGCAGAAAAGACTCAGGCATTCAGTAATGTAGACAAGCGAAAAAGAGCAGGGTGGGTTCAGGCAGGGAGACTCGCCACAGAGAGAGTGATAAGGATCAGAGAGGATGACAGGAAAGAGCAGCTCTGTTTGGGAAGAGGGGAGCCTTGGGGCCTTGTAATGATGTTGATTATTAGAAATAAAGGAGAGTCTGCATTTCAAATGGGCTCCTCTGTGATTTTCATGCACTCCAAACACAGACTGTTGGGTTTACCCACATCTACCAAACTGAAATTTCCAGGGGTGGCCTTGGAAGTGTGTAGTAATTATAACCAGGCCCCCAGCCCCAGCCCCAACCCCAGTCCCACTCCCAAGGGATTTGTGCAGCCAGCCACCATCTGCTGCAACTGACATTTAGGAACTACTAATCTGAAAAACAAAAACACCCATTTCACAGATGAAGGTATTAGAATTCAGAGAAGTAAGCCTCCCATCTTGCCCCACAGCAATCCCCTCTTGCAAAAAAAAAAAAAAAAATCCAAATGTGGCAAACAAAAATAAAATGAAAGAGGCTAATCTGAGAAGTAATTCTATCTTCGCCCTTTGCTGTCCCCTCAAAGCAACTAAAAATCCATCCCTTAGAGCAAGAATTCTTAATCTGGGGGGCCCATCAACTTGGTTGTAAATAAAATTACTTCCTTATTTTCACTAAACTGAAATTTAGCACATCCATCAATTGTGAATGTAGGCATCGACCCACAGCAGAAGAAACCCTTAATATCACCTGTAGAAATCACAGACATTTACACTTTAGGATCGCATTGCAGTTGTTACACCTCAAAGTACCATTTAATTCGTCAGTACTTAGAAAGTATAGGAACTTTGGCCCTGCCACTAGCTCTTGTCATTTAATGCATTATTGAAGAAGCACATAAACTTAAAATACTTTGGTAACTATATTTCAATATAATTAGTATCCTTGGTGATCCATTGTATTTTATTATATGCACGTAAAAACATTCTTCTCAGGAGGGAACGATGAGGCCAAAGATTCCCATAGAACAAAGAATGCTTAAGGAGCCCCGCTTTGGGACAACCATTTCTAAAGACAGTGCCAACACACACACACACACACACACACACACCACACACCACACACACACCCCACACACACCACACACACCACACACACCACCCACACACACCACACACACACCACACACCCACCACACACACCACACACACACCACACACCCACCACACACACCACACACACACCACACACCCACCACACACACCACACACACACCACACACCCACCACACACACCACACACACACCACACACCCACCACACACACCACACACACACCACACACCCACCACACACACCACACACACACCACACACCCACCACACACACCACACACACACCACACACCCACCACACACACCACACACACACCACACACCCACCACACACACCACACACACACCACACACCCACCACACACACCACACACACACCACACACCCACCACACACACCACACACACACCACACACCCACCACACACACCACACACACACCACACACCCACCACACACACCACACACACACCACACACCCACCACACACACCACACACACACCACACACCCACCACACACACCACACACACACCACACACCCACCACACACACCACACACACACCACACACCCACCACACACACCACACACACACCACACACCACACACACACACCACACACACACACATACACACACACTTCATACACACCCTCCAGACCAGCTTCCCAACTTGCCAGGCAATAGGAATCACTCCAGGGACTTAGTATTCTGAGTGGGGCCTGAGAATCATTTTGTTTAGCAAGAGCCTCAGGTGCTTTGGGAAATGCTGCCTTATAATCAGTAAATTGGGGAATGCTGCCGCAGGCTGTGTCTGTTGAAAAAAAAAAAGAAGAAGAAAATCAACAGCCAACTTCTGTACCTGAAGACACTTTGTTGCTTACTCCCACTTTCTGTATTGCCAAAGGGAGCTAGTTATATTCATTAGCAAGTGAGAGTAACACCACCTGGCTGCTCGATTATTCTGAAGTGAGTTATTTATTAGAATTTAGGGGAAAGGTAGAATCATGTCTCTAAAGAGGCTTAAATCAATCAGACTTTTTTCTGCTATAATTTCAAAAATCACTTTACCTTTCGAGTTCTCCCAACACTTTCTACTTACCTCACTGTCAGCACTTATCACTTAGTATTATAGTTATTTTCTTAGTGTCTATCTCCTGGGCCCTCAATTCACCCACACCCATTCACACATTTCTCCCCCTAACATGCACACACTATATTCTGAGGCCCTGGGGACAAAAAAATTGTTTAAGTCATTTGAGTGCACCTACCCAAGCAAAGTATCAGGCACATAATGGGCACTCAATAAACACTGGATGTATAGGTGGATGAATGAGCAAACGGCAGCTCTTCTTCCTCCTATGTTATCAGGATGAAGTTAAATTGTACGTCTCCCAGAACCGGAGTGTTAAGGTGCTGACCTTTGAGAGGCAAAATAGAGTTCTGGTTAATATTAAGGGTTTGAAATGCCAGCTCCTTTTACTAGCAATGTGTTCTTAGGCAAATTGTCCAACTCCTCTCAGTCCCATTTTGTTATCTATAAATTGTAAATGATGTTTACCTCATTGGGTTATTATAACTATGTATATCCTTTGTAAAAAGTATTTCAGGGTGGGAGGAGGTAGAAGAGATTATAGGGGGGATAAATGGTGATAGAGGGAAAAACAAAATAAAATAAAGAGAAAATAAAGTTTTTCATTCTCAGAATTCCTATAAATTCATATTTGGCCTTTATTTATATAGATCCAAATGGTTGAATTAAAAGACAGAAAGTAGCCCCGCTGGCGCTAGCTTAGTGGTTGAGCATCAGCCCATGAATCAAGAGGTCACAGGTTCAATTCCTGGTCAAGGCACATGCCAGGCTGTGGGCTTGATCACCAGTCGGGGGCCTGCAGGAGGCAGCTGATTAATGTTTCTCTCTCATCTATGTTTCTCTCTCTCTCTCCTCGTCCCTTCCTTTCTCTCTAAAATATAAATAAATAAATAAAACATATTTTAAAAATAAAAGAGAGAAAGTAAATCCGCAGCCAAATGAGCAAAAATGATGACTTCAGAGCTAGTTTGGACTTCTCACTGAAGCTTTTAAACAAGGTATCTTTGATCAGAGCATGTCAAAATAGGGTCTGCAGATTACCAAATATAGTGATAAAATCAAATGCTACAGCACCATCTTTAAGCACTATCATTTCAACAATGTCTCCTTTTTTCGTGAGAAGCTACTTCAGAGGCAACTGGACCTATTTTTCCCTCCCGCTTCCTCATAATTAGCCATTGGGCCTGCCCAGCAAGGACGCCCAGCTACAGCCAGGGACACAAAGCTTCACGGGTTTGTCCTTGAGAACTATGATCCCCAAGAATGGCAGCCCTACAGATAGGAAGCTGGCAAAGGAACAAGAGCTTGGCCCCGAGAATGGCATTTGTGGACATTCTGAAAGTGGCAGTCTCCCTGACAGATTGCTCTCGTACAATAAGGTTATATAATTTTTTAATAAAATAGAAATGTGCTAGAATATAAATTAAACTGTCTGTTTTCCTGGCTGTTTACAAGTATTACAGGAAGTTCTGGAGCTTGAAATGTATGGGCAAATGCGTGAGGTCAGAGTCATCCTCACTGATTCTGCGAGTGGTAGGGAGGATCGGGGCCCCTTTCCAATGCCCTAGACCCCGCCTTTCTCCCCACTTCTTGGTGGATGGGACCCGGTGTTGAAGGCAAGCACATTGGCACAGACTTATCTGACACGGGTTTTTAGAGATGTTGCTCCAAGATGCTTTCAAGCTTTAGAACCAGAAGCCAGATAGAATTTCATTTTGGAGTTAGGTTTTATGAAAAGCGTGTTCGCTGCTTATTTCCTGGGTCTAGGGTGAGCTCTCCACCGGTCGGAGGGCTTCAGAGAGGCAGCTTTGGCACAGTGCGCACCTCCGGCAGCACCCCACACTCATTTGCTACCAGCTATGCATCTATGGGCCTATCACTGAACCACATGAGCTTCCGTGGCCTCCTGAGTTTGAACTCAACCAGTGATTCTCAAATTTTGGTGTGATTGGGGGCGGGGGGCGCGAGGGGAGTATTGATTTTAAAATGAAGACCCATGGGCCCCAGCTCCAAAAAGTCTAACTCAGGAGGTCTAGGGAAGGGTTCAGAAATCTTCATCTCTAAAGAGTTCCCCACTGTAGGCCACAGTTGAGAAACGCTGAACTAATTGATTTGGAGGACCCTTCCAGCTCTAACCTTCTAACATTCTGTGATGTCGCCCTTTCTTGTGTGTGACCAATCTTGGGCAGCCTGTCACTCCCTTGCTGTCAGCCTGCCCTAGGTAATGACGATGTACCAACAGGGAGGGCATGTCAGTGTCTGTAGGGGGCAGCCTCGGGAAGACATCGAGTTGGTTGGGTTGTGTCCCTTTGCTGGGGGAGGAGCACTAACATCCTTGTCTCTGATGCCAGGTGACAGGTGGCGTCTGGAATTTCAGCCGCCTTTGCTGTGATGTTTTCGTCACCCTGGATGTGATGATGTGTACAGCCAGCATCCTGAACCTCTGTGCCATCAGCATCGACAGGTAGGGCTGGGGTCCCCGCCCTGGCTGAGGAGAGGGGTGGGCTGGACCTGGTGGGGAGGCTGTTCTTGCTGTACTGGAGACACAGGCCTGGCATCTGAGGGCACTGGGTCACTGCCAAGGAGAACTTCCCACTGGGACATGCTTTCCTCTTTTTCTTTTAAACTCTGGCTGTGGGTGAAAAGAAACCCCTGTGACAGGAGAGGAATGGTTGTTCTGTCAGCTTTTGTAACCTTGCCTTTCCCCCAGGTCACTAAAGAAGAGTCTGCTTTTGCTTTCCACCATCTTTGGGGTTTTGTGATTCCTAATGGGAGAAGGGAGGCGGGGAACAGGATGAAAGGTGAGCTGATTTGGGTGGGGAAGACAATTTCCTGTTACTATTTTGTTTGGTTTGGGTAAAAGGAGGACAGAAAGGAGTCTTTTGTGTGGTTTCTGGACATTTATTACATAAATGTGATATTTACAGAAGTAACAGCCAGCCTCCGGTTTGCTGTATCATCACCTCCGCCACTAAATTCTTATACTGCTCCCTGCTGTGTCTATTCCAGTGCCTTGGACAAAGAATAGTAAACTGAATTCAGTGGCCCCTGCCTGAGCGTAGCCAACGCTTATATCACAAATACACATCTTCAGAAAGGACAGGAGAGAGTGGGAGAAGGTGAGCCTTGGAGGGGGAGGGAAGAGCTGCAGAAAGAGAGCTTCTGAGAGGCCTGGGACAGCCCCCTCCCAGCCTCCTACTTCCTGACCTTACTGTCTACCCGCTTGAGAATGCGCCTGTGCACTCCATCCTCACACACTCACATGCGGCTGGTGGGGGAGGCTGTGCAGGTTGTGCCTTGCGCACGGGTGTGGGGACCGAATTCGACCAGTGCTTCACTTGCCAAGCCTGGAGTCCGCCAGGAGAGGGTGCCTGTTCTCATTTGCACGAGAGCACCATTTGCCCGCAGCAGCCACGCTTAACAAACACTTTTGTTTTCACCACTGAAGACACAACCAACAACAATAAGCCTTGAACCGGTTTCTGTCCCGAGCAGGAAAACTCCCAGAATGCATAGCACTCACCTACCTAAAACCGGAAGCTGCTTACACCTTGGACCCCAGTGGAGGAGGATGCTCCTTTCCCGGCTTCAGTTTCTATATGACCAAATCCTCGCCAAACCTCCAACTGGGGCCTCCTTTCTAGTCTAGGAATGAAAACCTGTCTTGGAGAAACCGTCTCCATTCTCCTCCACTGCGGTTTGCGGCGCAGCGTGTTCATTTCTGTTCGTGTGTCACCACAGAGCTGGCCAATTCATTAAAAATGCAGTCCTAAAGGTCTCCACACAATGCTAGTCACCAGTCTGACACACTGACCCAATGGATTCAGCATTTTTTGGTCATGAAGCCCTGGTCTGTAATGACAGGGGAGCAGGAGATAGGAAAGAAAGGGAAATGTTGAAAGCGTTTTTGAAAGCAAGGAATACTATTGTCATTAGGTCCTTAGGCATAGCTCTAATGCCTAAGAATTGGATTAAAGCCGCCTTTTCTTCTCAACAAAGCAGAGTGGGTGAGCACAAGGCCCCACCCCCTTGGCTCCTTGCCTCCCAGGGGCCACATCCTAGGTCGGAACAAACTTGGGGAAGGGGCTGAGAAAGTGTCAGAGGAGAAGGACACGATGTGAGCGGGGAGAATGCCAGTCCCCCTCGAGAAGCCCGGGAATAATGCAACCAAATGCATTCACGGGGCGTCCTTTAAGTGGCTCTCAAATGGCGCCCATCACACAGGCAGCCTCTGCGTCCTTGTGGGAGCACAATAGGTACCAGATGGGTCACAGGCACCTTGGAGCTTTAGTTTGCATCTAAATAAGCACTTTATATCTGCAAAGAGCTTTCCAATCATTTGCAAGAAGCGTTTTTTCTTCAACAATTCCATGAGGGGAGTCCACAGAACTAAAGATTTATTGAGCCCCCTGTCTGAAGAAATAAAAGGGGGTGAAAAGAAGCCCTCACAGAGCTCTGGGGCTCATTAAACCCAGGCCCTCCACCAGCCTGGCCTCCCACCTCCCCCACCGCCAGCTTCCTCAAGAGGCACCATCATCGGTTCCCCCACGCACACCTCCACCCTGAGACGAGGCTTTATTTTAGGCGGAGGTTGAATTCTGGGAGGATCTTGAGACCTTCAGAGTGACAAGCCCACAAACCCATCACAGAATTGGGACTCAGAAAAGGCATACAGTTTAGTTCATTTGTGCAGAACTGCTACATGCTTGCACCGAGTCCTACAGCCTTTTACTCAGGTCTGGAGCTAGAACCTGAGTGCCCCAATTCCCTGCCAGCACCTTTCCTTGGTGGAGGTGGGGAAGGGGCATCCTGGGAGGGGCCTCTGGCTACACCAGCAGCCCAGCTCTATCAGTGCTATTTCCCTGGAGTAAACAGGCAGAGTGCCTATGTCTTTAATGCCCTGGCTACCTCTGTGCTCATCCTAATTTGCCTGATGATAACAGCAACAATAAAAAATAGCTACTATTTATTTAGCATGTACTATGTGCCAGGCACGACAAGCTTTTCATTATGGCTAACCCTCACCACACCCTGGCCAGGTAGGTGTATAATCCCCAGTTTCCAAACAAAGATGCTGCAGCTAGACTGTGTAGATAAGCTTGCCCAGGTCACACAGCTGGCAGACACAGGACCAGGGATCCCATCAGCCTCTTGCTCATCTGCACTTGAGCAGATGTGCTTAGCCACACTGTGGGGCCCTGGCTCAGGGGCCACCCTGCCTGCCTGCAAATCCTGGCCCTACCACTTAACAGCAATCCGACCTTGGGCAAGTCAATTAACCTCTCTGGGCCTCAGTTTGCTTATCTGTTTAGCATAATAGCAAAATGTTGATATGAGGATTGAGTGAGTTGATATTTGTAAAGTACTTCATACAGTTGCCTAGCACCTAGAAAGTGCTATAATGCTTGCTTGTTAAATGAATAAAATGTTCCCTAAAAATCAAGAATAAGGGGCAGACACCAATAAATTAACTGATATGAACATTCACAGGTCCCTTGGGCTTGCACAATAATGACAATTACAGTACGTACTACAGTACTGGCTTTTGAATATTTAATATGTACCAGGCATTGTGCTAAAAAGCAAACGAACAACAACAGAGAAAAAAAAAACCCTTCACGTTCACTACGTATAAGAGCCCTATGAAGCAATCATTCTCCCCATTGTACAGATGAGGAAGATAAGTCTTAGAGACGCACGGTTAGGTAGAAGAACTGAAATTTAGACGCTAGTCGATATGTTTTCGACGCCCACTGACTTAACCACCTTGCACACTGCCCGTGTTCAGGCCACGCCAGAAAGAGTCCAAAGAATTAGGAGCTCAAACACCAGGGGAGAGGGCCTGGCGAGGGAGCGGCAGGGACAATGCAGCGTCTGGGGAGCAGGCTGGGCCGGGAACCCCGAGGTGAGCGCAGCGGACCAGCGTTCAGAGGCGGCCCTGGGCTGGCCTCCTGCTGCATCCAAGCCCAGCCCTGCCCGTGCCTGCGGTCGGTCATCTGCGATCGATTTGGGAGGAGATCAGAAGCTGAGCAGCCTGTTAGGTGGGAATTCAGGGCCCCTGCAGGGCTCTAGGAACCAGGGAGCTGAGCTCTGCCTCCCTTCCCACTGGGCCTCGAGAGCCCCCAGGTGAGCAATGAACTTCTCACCCGGCGGAGCTGGCGGAGTTCTTGCTGCATTATGGTGCCCTCCGATGGCGGATTCCGGAACAGCCTCTGTGTCTCAGTCCCTATGGGAAACCCTGGAGGCAAGTTTGGGGGCCTCATTTATTCTAAATGTTTAATCATGTTTAAAAAATAATTAGAAAAGAGTGTAATGTAACCATGGTAAATGTAGTCTCATCTCTCACTTCTTACCCAAGTTAGCCAGAAGTTAACAAGGTATTTTCCCTAGTGCAGGCTTTCTCAAACTTGTCTAATCATCCTTGCTTGCTTGTTAAAAATACACATACCTGGGTTCCACTCCAGAAACAATCAAAATACCCAGGGATGTGTCCTGAGAACAAGCATTTTAACAGAACCCCCCAGGCAAGTGATAGAATCCAGTTCACTGGGGAAACTCAGCTCTGGACATAAGTACAAGCCACCCTTTGAGCCACCTTTCCTGAAGGCCTCAGAGTTGGGAGACCTGGCTCTGCCACAACCGCAGGTTCATCATGTAGCCTCTCTGTGTCTCTCACTCCAATGTTAAAATGGAGCTAGTGTTCCCTAC